CTATGAGAGTGTTTCTTTTTTAAATTTTTTCCCTAATTATAAGATATCTTATAATGTTAAGATAATAAGATAATCTTATAATTAGAGAAAAAATTTAAAAACGAAACACCGTTAAGTCATTAGTAGTACCTATCATCAGTCTGTAGAAAAAATCAGCTTCATTCGTCCAACGGTAACCTAGTAATATCCGTAGAAAGTTCGTGAAAAACCGACTAAGAATTGTTTTTTTACGGAGTTATCAAATGGGGGCGATTTTTTCAATATTTTTTTAAGAGCTATTATCAACGTTTTCATTTAGTGTATAACTTATTTTCTCGAAAAACAACCTTTCAGAATTGGTACCACAAGAAGGACCCGCAGCGCCTTAAGTCATATGACCTGAGGCGGCAGACGATCGATTTTAGCATACTCTGATAGGGCAAAATGGAACTCCATCGGTTAAAATTTTGATCATTCTCGTTCAGTGGACTTCGTGCTAGCTCCCCTACTATTATAGAATATTGTGGTCATTGTTTTTCTGTATACCTTAGTTTTTATTTTTTTATAACGTTTTAAGTCACTGTATCCTAGAAAAGATTTTTTAATTATTATCAAAATGTGAGAAGCATTCGAGGTAAGTGTAAGGATGTATTTTTTAATTTATTAAATTGCAATTATGACATGATTGTGCTTACAGAGTCTGGTCTAAATAGCTCATTTATGAGTTCCGAAATAATAGATCATCGATATATGGTATTCAGGAAGGACAGGCCAGACAATCAAAGATTTGGTGGTGCATTAATTGCAGTCCACAAGCAATATAATGCGAAGGTGATTCCCTTGTTTTCGGAACACGAGTGTGTTAGTATAAAATTCAAGGTGTCGTCATTAAAATTTATTGTATGTGCATTATATCTCAAACCAGGATCAAACAGTGATCAGTACCTCGCGTTCTATAATCAATTTGAAGAGATTCAAGGCATTCACAATTCACATCTTATTATAGTAGGAGATTTTAATATACCCAACCTTCAAGAGGATAGTAAAATAGTAAGAGAATTGAAATGTTTTGAATCCCTCCATAGCTTGACATCTTTCAATAAATTAAACAAATATAGCAAACGAGCTCCTGGGTATGGCTATAGCATGTGCAAAACCAAATTTTAAACCTGATGTTAGTTTTGCTTTTATTTAAAGTGTATATGTATGAAATTTCATTTGAATGCCTCCATAAATAAGCTGCGCATGCGCAAAACCAAATTTTGAAACTGGCGTTAAATTTGCTTTTATTCCAAGTGGCTATGTATCAAATTTCATTTAAATACCTTCATAAATAAGAAAGTTTGCAATTCGGTCTGTAAATGGTCGAGATGCGCAAAGGGCACTGTGAATGCTGATCGATTAGGTTCAACATTTGGAATTGTGTTTTATATGGCTAAAGCTATGCGCATATTGAATTTCATGCAATTCGGTTCATAACTAACGGAGATGTCAAAAGGCCCTACTTTATTTTTTGGGCTACATTGCCAATTCACGAACTCCGATCTACAAATTTGATTAAGAATCCACCTGCAAAATTTCATCGCAATCGGTCCATTCGTTTATGAGTTATCGTGCTAACGGACGGACGGACGGACGGACACAACAAAATTATAAACTCGCTAGGAGCTCGTTAATAATATACACAACACATCAAATCGTACATTGGACTTGGTATTATCGTCCTATAGGGAACTAAGTTTTATCAGGGATCCTATTAGTACGGAAGACCCACACCACCACCATTATTAATAACATTTACTACTTCATGGCAGGGTAGAAAAACTCCCCAAAGTATGGATATAGAACCTAGGCACTACAATTATAGAGCAGCTGATTTCTTGCAACTTGTGCGCTCCCTGAACGCCGTGAATTGGACGTCATTGCAAATGTCTGTTAATCCCGAGGAGGCGGTACATACATTTTATGAGTATTTCTATGAAGCACTCGATACGTGTGTTCCGTTACGTAGAGCTAAAATTGGAAAAAATCGGTACTATCCCAGTTGGTTTACTAAAAAAATTATTCACGACTTGAAAATAAAAAACTAGCACTTTAAAAAAATGAAAACTAATAATAGTAACAAACATTTTCATGAGGCACAATTCAAGGAACTAAGGAAGAGAATAAAAATAGAAATCAATGCCGCACATGAGAAGTATGTTGCAAATACGGAGATTGAAATGATTTCAAACGTGAACGCTTTTTGGACGTTTATTAAAAATAGAAAGTTATAAGCACAGACCATTTAGAGGAGATGACATTAAACAATATTAGTTACACAGGCTCAAAAGAGATTTCAAACGCGTTTGCAACGTATTTCTGCAGTGTGTATAAGCAAACCCCTTCCACATATACCATGTGTCGCCATGTGACATTCTAGAGTTTCGGAAAGTGAGGTTGAGGAGGCGGTAAAGGAACTCAAACCTAAAAAAGCTGCTGGACCGGATGGTATTCCCCCGTATATTTTTAAAGGTTGTAAAGACATCCTGGTACTCGCATTAACAACACTGTATAACTTGTGCTTAAAATTTGGTAAATTTCCCGATATTTGGAAAATTACAAAGGTATGCCCAATTCATAAATCTGGATCCCAAACTACCTACACGACTCTAAATAATTGCCTGAACTACTAAAATTTTATTTTTACTTTAACTTACAATTCAACGCAATCGATTATAGGAAAACAATTAACGAAAATACGCTAGTTAATGGATACCTTTTCGCTAATGCTACTCAATTGTCGCTAATGCGTAACCCACACCTCAAAGAGTGCAAATGCTGCCTCGTAGGCTCAGGGCCGTAGCCAGAGGTTTGTTGCTATCAGGGCTTTGATTGTTATAGCCAGGGCGAATTAAAAAAGCTGTGTTTACGGGGCGCTAACTAGGGGTGGGGGGGAATTTTGTCAAAAGTTCAAGGTCAAGGTCATTGATTGATTTAACAAATTATCAGCCAACAGACAATGCAGCAGTATTAAATAGACATTTACATAATAGTCCGGAAAATGATACATTACTGGCGAGGAAATGTTTTGAAGTGCGTGTACTTTAATTTCCGAGTCAGGTAATGTCATTTTACTAACGAGTTTTGTATTAAAATTTTACCCGAAATTGTATTTTAATATAAAATTTCAATTTTTATATAGAACTTTTGGTCAGAAAAACTCGTGGTTGATCCATACTCTAAATGGGGTGATGAATCATACAGGAAATAAACAACTCAATTCCTCAAAACCTTCCCCATGGATATTTAATTATTTTATTATTATATTATTTAATTAAATTAAATATCTATGGGGAAGGTTTTGAGGAATTGAGTTGTTTATTTCCTGTATAGAACTTTTGATTAATGTCAATATGTCAGTGATGACAGGAGTAATTATAGACATTTAAAAATGTGACGGTGCGACCGGTTAAAGTGGCAGGTGCGGCCAGTAAAGTGACAAGCGGCAGGAAACGTCGTCTGCTGTGCCTCTGTCATGGAAACTCAAATTTCCTGACAGAAAGTAGGCATGAAAATGAAGGTTTCAGGACGAGTTTGGGTAAGTGTATTATGGCTTGGGTTGGATATCATAAGGTTATAGTATTTTACATTATTAGCCAGGTAAGTGAGTTTTTACTGGCGATAGGAGAAGTTGACTAGCGAGCCGTTAGGCGAGCTTGTCATCTCCTAGAGCCAGTAAAAACTATTACCTGGCGTATAATGTACAATATTTTATTTGTTACTCATTTGTAAACAATAGTAAACGTAAATAATTAGTTCTTAAATTAATCTTGAAGAAATGTCTAAAATATCATGCTATCCATGTAACAGAGACTTCGCATTAATTCTGGCCAATGAAATTACTAGATTACTAACTTGTAAAATTTTTACAGGGGTGCTATTCTCGACACCGTTCGTTTTCGTACCATTCGAATTGAAAACGAAGGGTTTATTTACGAGTACTTTCATAAAATGGTATTCTTGACTGCTATTCGTTTATCAAAACGTATGCTTGGAATTTATGCGAACGAGCGGCATGGCAACACTGTCGTAATTTAATTTGACATTTCTTTGCGTGCGAACTACGAATTTTTTAAATTACAAATCATTTGAATCATTATGGAGAAACATAAAAAACATGTACAAATTACTACAGAACAAAAGCAAAAATGTTGGTTGAATTGATGAAAAGTAACAGGGAACTGCAAAGCGGCAAATTTTCTAACACGTTTACATATAAAGATGCCCGAACCGAATGGGAAAAAATAGGACACACGTTAAATAGCATCCCCGGGGCAAAGCGGGACTGGAAGAGTTGGAGGAAGGTGGTAAATCATTATGCCATTTTATATTACTTATTCCATTTATTTGAAGACATGGCAAGATTTGAAATCTCGCGCTAAGTCAAAAGCAAGCGCAATTAAACGCCATGCAAGTGGAACAGGCGGAGGCCCTCAATGTGACGATAAATTAACACCAGTGGACGAAGGTATATTAGAATGTGTCAAAGCCGTTAGTGTTGAAGGCCAGATTGAGGTATAAAGGAATCGACGGTTGAATTTACAGAAGTAGAGGAAAATGTTGATGACGTTCATGTTCATATGGAGGAATATGTAAATTCACCGGCAGGCGAAACGCCTAAAGAATTTTTATGTGATGAACAAGGACCATCTACATCTGTTACCGACTCAGCGACATCAACCTCAGCACGAAAAGTGCCCTTAAAAAAAAAGCAACTAAAAATGCGCAAACTTTAAAAGCAGTGTCAGATTTTAAAGCTACAATGGACACCAAGCTCAAAATGAAAGAATTATACTATCAAAAGAAATTATCGCTGCTAGAAAGATTGGTGGTATCTAAAGAGGATGGTGTTGCTGCTAAACAACGTATAGCTGCTGCTCTAGAAACAATAGCAGACAATTTATTTTAAATAAGTATTAGTTAATAGTTTTCAATTATTAAAACATTAGCTTAAAAGAAATCATTATTTAACAAAAAACGCCGATTATTTATTGTTGCAAAAGTGTAATTAATTTATTTCTTTGGTTTCTGCCAGCAGCCAGTTCGGGATTTACTCTCTCAACAACATGATTTCTTTCTGGGACATGCACGCCCAAATCAATTTGTTCGGCTTCCTCATTTTGTGGAGTTTCTATGTTATGCTCAATACACAAGTTATGCAGCAAAACACAGGCGTTTATAATTTTACTGGCTTTCTCGGGGGAGTAATGCAAAACCCTGTGTTTAAGAAGGCAGCGAAATCTCATTTTTAATACACCATTACATCTTTCGATTGTGCTCCGTATGGTTTTATGTCTAGAATTATAGAAGTGCTCAGGTATATTAGGTCGTGGTTCATATTCTAAAGGTGTTAACAGCCAACTTCTTAATGGGTAACCCGAATCGCCTAAGATTAAAAGTAATAAACCTTTATGTGTGATAGCATTCCTACCTACCTAACAAGAAATAATTTTTATTTCCGGCCTCGTGTAATCGTCTTAATAGGGTTTGCACATTGGATTGGTTCCAAATGAAAGCATCATTAGTACTGCCAGGAAATAAAGCATTCACATTAATAATCTTCAAATTATGGTCACATATCTAAACATTGTTTCAATTAGATTTAGAAATATTGGTCACTTTTCTGATTACCAGTTGTACATTAATGGAATGATAATTCTTCCTATTCACATAAATATGTTCAGGATAATTATCATCATCCACTTTAGGGGGGAATATTGCAACATGTGTGCAATCTATACACCCAATTATTCCTGGGAAATTATACTTTTCAAAAAACCTAGAAAGCTATTTGTTTTTTCAACCGCACACTATTGATTCATGTATCTACCCCATTCTAGCAGCATTGAGTTCTTGTATATTTCTAGGGAAATGTACATAAGCGTTAAAAATTTCATTTCTGTTCATGGCATTGACAACTTCTTCAATACATCTTGATACTGAAGGTTGTGATATTCCAAAGTTATAATTTGATCCCACGTCCATTTGGTAGCTTCCACTTGCAAGAAATCTCAACGTTACTAAAACCTTAAAAAAATCGCTTCAACTAAGATTGTACCTATTGTAGTATATATCCTTGAAAATATTGATACTCAAATTACCTTCGTTGTTATGTCCAAATCAGTGGAACGATTTGCGGGGGCGATGTAATCTTTTAGAAGATGTACCAAAAATTGCGCTAATGCTTTAGATAAGCGAAAAACTTTTATGAAATACTCATCGCTAAGTTCATTAAATGGGTCCAACCGGCGTCTATGTACACGTCTATTTCTTACTTCTATGTCCTCTAACTCCTCTATCAACAATAATTGTACAACATCTTCCATTATCCAAATTTTTATTTCAACTGTCAAATTAAAACGTACACTTTATTTGAAAGCGTCTACAGATTTCCGCTCGCTGTAAACCATTCGGTTTCAATTCGTATACGAACTGAATACGAGCGGTCGAGAATAGCTCTTTAGTCATTCGAATGGAAATGCGCATACGCATTTGAAAGTCACTTGTCGAGAATAGGGCCCCTGGTCTGCTGTCAGTTTTACAGGTCTGCTGTCAGTTTTACAAGTCAGTAGCGTTTAAACATGACGTTTACCCGTTTGCGTTTTGTCTTGTTAATCAACGTTTACAACTGAGTAACAAATAAAGATATTTTAACCGCTTATAGTGATCGGTTATAATTCCTTATACCTCAAGAGTGGATTGTGGGAGAAGGATACTTACAAAGACAAAATAAATGTTTTAAAGAAAATGCGCTTTATCTGCACAAGAGTATTGCACAATTTATCCTTGTTTAGAATCTCATCGCTATTCTCCTGCCAGGGCGAAAATTTTGCCTGCCAGGGCGGCGCCCTGATTCGCCCCCCTTTGGCTACGGCCCTGCGTAGGCTGGACGTGAGTTCGGAGGAAGTAAATACGAACTAGCTTCTTCTGCAGCCGCTTGAACGTCCGATGAAATACTCACATTTTCATCGGAATAGTTCATTTTGCTAGCAAAAAGTTCCCAAACGCGATTGAAACATAAAAGCCGCGAAACGAGGATGCTTCAAATAGCAACGCATTAGGTATCGCGATAATACATGGGTATTCAGTCTTAAAATAAAGTTCTCTTCCCATTATAATACCTATTTCACATCAATTTCTTGACGAAATTACAAAAAATACACGTCTAGTGCGCCAAAGACAGTCAATTTGCAACTTGTTATATAAATAGCTAATTTGACGTTAGATATGGTGGGGGATATTGCGGTTTTTGTCGCCCCCTTTGATATGCCGCATGTGGCCTTGGGCCCCCAAAATACATCTAAGTTGAATGTCGGTTTATTGTTGCAGAGCGATTAGACAGGTCAAGTATGATTTGTGGGTATAGCAACATTGAAGCTGTAGGGGGGCGGTAGTTTGTGTTTTTAATAAGAATAGCACAACAACAAAAATGAACAGGAATTTAATGAAAAATTATGTAAATGTACTGATTGTCTGTCGCGTTCCTTAGCAGCAACAAACATTCTGTTTTTGTTGGTTTCTCACAGTAAAAGCACCCTCCATTTTCATTTCTTAAAGCTCTCTAGAATGCTTTTTATTTCGTAAGTACCTGTACATTGCAGTCACATCGTCGTCTTCACTTGATAACATTGTTCACTGAATTAAATGTAGAAAACACGTTGCCTTGGTGGGACAACTCCATGTCACCTGCTTGTGCCATGTCGAAACCGTGTCGCTGTCGCGTTACTGTAGCGTAGCCTAGGTGAGACAAGGCCCTAATATCTGTTAAAAGGCAAAATCAAGGCTGAGAAAGAAAATAGTGAAAGAAGTACTGAGAGATGACCAAAATACCATCACAGAGTTAATTACATTATTGGATTGTTTGCAGCAACAACAAAAATTTAAGACCCACGCTGCCGAAAACAAAACCCTGAAAAATAATCCTTTTGTGTCAATTTTAATTAATTCGTTGTTTTCATAAATTCGGATATTAATTGTTCTTTATACCAAAATAAACTAATATTATAAAGCTTCTGCTCGCCTAAACTAATGCTTGCCTTCCTAAATGTAATATAGTTGCGGAAACGTAAGCTGTTTATTAGCACGATGAGAGACACAATTGATCACTTTACTTCTGTAAATTCAGAGACTGAAGGTAACTAGAACTGTTTAGTGAACTGGAACGCTGCCATTTTCTAGGATTTCTCAACAAACGTTCACAGGGATGAAAGGAATGAGTTAGGGTAAATCAGTATTCTGGTCTCAGACTGGTTAAAAATTTACTCGGTAATAACGGCAATAACGGAAAATTCAAGGCAGTGCATAACTGCAACGTCCGATTCAATTCATGTCATGGAGCGATAAATTACTTCGTGATTCCGTATACTGTTTCCATTGTTCGTAATTGACACAATGAAATTTTCAAGATTTCTCGGTGTAATTAGGTCAGTAAATAGAAAGACTGTAATTGTCGTATATATATTTACGCAGTTTATCTACCCTTTTTTTGGCTTTTAATTCTCCTAACAAATATATGTAAATAACATCAGTGTTATAACAAAGACAATATACAGGTTCATTCGACTATGCCGTTCGCACGATAGCTCCAAAACGCTTGGACATATAAAGCTCAAATTTGAAGTAGATACATATAGGTCATAGCATTGTTTATTCATAAACAAAGGTCATAAGAAGATGTGGTTAAATTTTGGGCTACTGAGGTTAACGGCCTGACGAAGGATAGCTCTTAACGCACTTTCGCGTTTAGCTTTGCGTCGGTTTACGGTAATATTACACGAACGAACAAAAAAGAAACATATGGATGAAAGAGTGACACTTTATCCAAGACTGGTCCACTAGTCGCAGTAGGTGTAAATTTTGTTCGAAGTACTCGAAGTACTGAAAATAGTCGCCAAAGTACTCGAACTAGTCGTCGAAGTAGTTTGGAGAAATGAAGCTCGAAGGTGAACGCGCATGAACACATCACATGACTTTGCATGTGCTGTACTCCGAGAACGAGTCGAAGTACTTGGAGTACTGCGAAGTAGTTGAAGTAGGTGTACATTTTACTCGAAGTACTCGCAGTAGTACTCCAAGTACTCGAAGTAGTGGTCGAAGTACTCGAAGTATAGTAGTCGAAGTACTTGCAGTATTAGTCGAATTATCAGAAGTAGTTGTCGAAGTAGTCGAAGTCCTTGTCAAAGTACCTACTCGAAATAGTTGTCAAGTCGAAGTAGGTGTACATATTTTGGTGAGGTGGACGAGTCTTGACTTTATCTTAATCCAGCAGCCACGGCTTGTGGTTTTTTATAGTGATTAATAACAGGCTGAATCTTCGTGAGTGGGTTGGGTTCCACGACACGGCCGGTTTTTTTTCTCTGTGATAATTTTCGATAGAGTAGCTAATAATCTGCGCCTGTGTTAAATAACTTGCACGCGTAGGTATAGGACTGGGAAAACTGGGACTGGGACACTAAATTTGTAGGACTATGTGACCATGACCATTCTAACGTCGAGTTTTAAGCGAGACGCTTATGTTTTCTCCCAATCGTCTGATCGCTTTCTCGATGGCTTCATGTCTATCGATTCAAAACAGAATGGATAGAATGATTACGATGAAATTTTGCAGATGTTCTTATTATCAAATTTGTAGATCGGAGTTCGTGAATTCGTAATGTAGGTTAAACAAGTTATTTATTTATTTATGTTCGACTTTTAAATGGACTATAATCTTTGACATTAAGTATCTTTCTAATTTCTAAGCTTGAAGTAGAAAAAATAATCAATCCACTTACCCCAAATGTGTCGGACCGTCGGACTTTCTTCTGTGAAGGTGGTGTAAGAAGGAATATAACAATTAGGAAAAAGTGAGGAATTGTTGTTGATTGATTATTGTCGAGGGGGAAGTTTAATGTGGTTATTGCACAAAACACGATCCGAAACAAATTATGTATTGTAACTATCCAAAATGAAATTTATTGAAAAATGTACGTCGCGTTCGAACAATACTTTCTATCGAATGACCAATGTCACTCCTTATACATGGCCATGACTTCGTAATCTGATTTAATAAATTTTATACAAATAAATAAATATGCGACAATTTATTTATTTGTTTATTTATTTGTTTATTTGTTTGTTTGTTTGTTTGTTTGTTTATTTGTTTGTTTATTTGGTTGCTTATTTATTTATTTATTTGACGTGCTACTTCAATTTCAGTTTAGAAGAAGAATCCTACCGTAAAATGTTAGAAGAATTGGTTTACAAATAACTATTGTGTGCCTGGGCATGCGTAATAATTGTTTTACGTGTTTTTAGTCGGATCGTATTGCGCATCCGCAAAACAAATTTATTTCATTTGGCATTAGTTTTGGCTTTATTCGAAAAAAAAATACATTGCACAAATACAACAGTTATCGTGAAGAACTGCACACGGACAGACATACGGGCGGACAAACAGACGAAAATGTTCACAGAGGAGAAACCTGACCTGTCTTGTCAAACCCAACTTACTCACGAAGATTCAAACTGTTATTAATCATTGAAAAAACAAAGGCTGCGGAACTATTTTACATGAAGGGAATACGGCAATTCAGAAATTCTGGGGGGAGGGAAGTGCTCGTGTTCTACTCGCAGAGCCTATCTGAGCGGATTTTTCCGAAATCTTAACAGAATGCGCTTTTCAAATAACGGTTTGCCATCATTTTAAATGACTGAAAACGAATTTGGGGTGGGATAATCAATTGTTTTCGGAAAAAGACTGTTTTTGTGTAAATGCGCTTTTTGTAAATCGTTTACGATTACTAAGTACTTACTGTAACCTGTTTCATCATAAAAGAAACTGTCACGTGCTACAATTCATTTTTAGGTATATGCGAGTAGGTATTTTCTTTAATAGTTATTTAAGCTACAAGGAATGTAAGCCTTACATTTGACGTTGTCATGTAATATATAACTTACTCTTACAGAGACGAAAGCGCGAAAAAAAATTAAATTTTCATCGCTTACCATCGTACCATCCTTTTTTGAGTAAAACTCGTGCCCTTAAATATTCTAATTTTCTAAATAGACTCTTTGGACTCATGAAGAAAGCCGAGTTCCTATTTCATTTTTCAACTGATGTCGCTTGTTTATTAATGAGCTCCTAAGCGAGTTCTTGATTTTGGACTCTCCGTCCGTTCGTCCGTCTGTGTACATTATAACTCGCGAACAATTATGCACTTTTCAATTCATTTTTCAGTATTATGTTTATGATCACCCAAGGAAGAACTGATTAAATTTTCAGTGACCCAGAAGTTAGTTTGCTATATTTTTTACAAGTTTATTATTATTACTATTATTACAATACGGCCAAATCAGGCCTTTTGAATCTCTGTATTACCCTACTAGGAACGTCTATTGATATCTATTTATTAAAGAGTTACTTACTTGAGGTCACATTTTATTCAGTCAACGAGTACCTTAAATTCATTTTTGTACTCATTGAATGGAAAGATAATGTTTCCAAGCATCCTC